TCAAGATGGATGTGAATATGTGTGCACATTTTCTCCTGGTCTGTGAGTTGTCTGTTTGCTCTCTTGATTGTGTTCTTGGCCCTGCAGAAACTTTTTCATTTGATCAGGCCCCATTTATTTTTGTTACTGCTGTGATTAATTTTGAGGTCTTCCTCATGAATTCTTTACCTAAGTCAATATCTATAAGAGTTTTTCCAACACTTCTTTACATGTGCTATCCCATACTATGTATGTATCTAGTCCATTCTTCTCAATCTTTAATGGAACTTGCCATCTCTCTTTGTCTATTGTTAGTCTTCAATCAAAAACAGGGGAATAGGCTCAGCACCTGTGGCTCAAGTGGCTAAAGCACCAGCCACATACACCTAAGGTGGCAGGTTCAAATCCAGTCTGGGCCCGCCAAAAACAACAATGATGGCTGCAACCAAAAAATAGCCAGAAAAAAAAAAATAGCCGGGCATTGTGGCAGGCGCCTGTGGTCCCAGCTACTTGGGAGGCTGAGGCAGGAGACTGGCTTGAGCCCAGGAGTTGGAGGTTGCTGTGAGCTGTGATGTCACAGCACTCTAGCCAGGGGGATAGCTTGAGGCTCGGTCTCAAAAAAACAAACAAACAACAAAAAAAAAAACAGGGGAATACCTTTATCAAGTTATGTAAGATGATAGTTTACAATTTGAGTCTTTTACTTATCAAGGGGGTGGGGAGAATTAGTGTTGACACTTTTATTGACTTGTTGACAATTATCATCTATTGTTTCTTACATTGCCCCAGTCTATTCTCAACACAGCAGCCAAAGGGATCCTCTGAAACAGCAGTTCAGTTGTTGCCTTTAAAGTGATGGCTCATTTCATTCATTTTTGAGAGAATATCTACTTGGTACCCAAGTGTAAACAACTATAGTTTAACCTACTACCAGTCTTCTTGCCCAGATGGTACAAAAGCAATAATGATAAAAATACTAACACTTTGCATTAACAAAGGCAGTGGCACAAAATTGTACCATTGTAGTCTTCATTTCTATGCATTCTCATTAAAAACATACAAGCAAAAAACTCAGCTCAGTTTTACTTAAGAGCATCCTTGTTGGCCAAACACAGTGGCTCACACCTGTAATGCCAGCACTCTGGAAGGCCCAGGCAGGCAGATCGCTTGAGTTCAGGAGTTTGAAACCAGCCTAAGCACGAGAGACACCTTGTCTCTAAAAAGTAGCCGGGCATTGTCACCAGCGCCTGTATTCCCAGCTACTTGGGAGGCTGAGGCAAGAGGATCACTTGAGCCCAAGAGTTTAAGGTTGCTGTAAGCTATGATGTGACAGCACACTACCAAGAGTGAAAGACTGAGAAGCATTCTCAAAAGAAAAAAAAAGAAAAGAATGTCCTTGTTAAAGCAGTAAAAATTACTAACTTTATGAAATCTTTGTCCCTGAAGATACATCTTTCTAATATTTTTTCTGTGATGAAATTAGAAGTAGGCATAAAGCATTTTTCCTGCCCAGCAAACTATGATGGTTTTTTCAAGGAAAAGCAATTGGGAGCTGCAAACTGAACTCCAGTTTTTCTTCCCACAGCACGCCATTTTTACACAAAAGAAGGACAAACTATATGTATGTAGTTATTCAGACTTGGGTATATATCTTTCAGACATTTTCTTGAAAATGAATCAAGTAGCCTGTCACTTCAAGGAACATGATAGTGTTTGCTACCAAATTCAAGCTATCAAGCAAAAACAACTGATGGAAACCTCATCCATCACTGTGAGTTTTTCAGTTTCTCCCTCCTGTAAGACTTTCCTGAGACAGTGATGATATTAATGTGATTTTTGATATGTATAACACTGTGTCAACATTTGGAAGGCCTCAGTGAGCCAATACTTTCCAAATGACTGATGCATGGATGTTCCAAATCACGTACGGGTAAAAGAGCCATTCAAAATTCAAAAGCAGGGGAACAAATTTTTTTTTTTTTTTAGGGGAACGAATTTTAATGCAACAGAATGAAAACTTCACTGATCCAGTTTCAGTGTTACAAATAACCTTTCCTACTTATTTTTGAGAAGTGGACCTCAACCAAAACTTCATAATCACCTATTTTGAATGCAAAAGCAGGTATCAGAAATCTCACTGTCTTCTTTTAAACATCTACAATTTTTTTTTGGACAGTCTCACTCTGTCACCTTGTGTAGCGTGGTGTCATAGCTCATCTTAGGTAGAGTTTCATAGTGTCAAACTCAAAAACTCCTGGGCCTAGGCTTGGCACACAGCTCAGTGGTTAGGGCGCCAGCCACATACCCTGGGGCTGACGGGTTCAAACTCAGCCGGGGCCTGCCAAACAATGACAACTACAACAAAAAAATAGTTGGCCATTGTGGTGGATGCCTGTGGTCCCAGCTACTTGGGAGGCTGAGGCAAGAGAATCACTTAAGCCCAAGAGTTTGAGGTTCCTGTGAACTGTGATGCCATGGCACTCAAGGGCAACAACAACAAAAAAACCCAAAAAACTCCTGAGCCCAAAAGATCCCCCTACCTCAGTCTCCCAAATAGTGGGGACTACAGATGCCTACCATAATGCCTGGCCAGTTTTTCTTTTTTTCTTCTGTAGAGACAGGGGTCTCACTCTTGCTTGGGCTAGTCTTGAATTCATGAGCTCAAGCAATCCACTCACCTCAGTTTCCCAGAGTGCTAGGATTACAGGGATGAGCCACTGCACCTGGCCTGCAATTTTTTTTAAGCCTTTCTTCTCACTAAATTGTGCTAGAAAATAGTAATTTTTCATTAGAAAATATTTTGATTTCATTAAAAATATCTTCATTGGCTCAGTGCCTGTGGCTCAAGTGGCTAAGGCACCAGCCACATACACCTAAGGTGGCGGGTTCGAATCCAGCCCAGGCCCACCAAACAATGACGGCTGCAACCAAAAAATAGCTGGGCATTGTGGCAGGTGCCTGTGGTCCCAGCTACTTGGGAGGTGGAGGCAGAAGACTCGCTTGAGCCCAGGAGTTGGAGGTTGCTGTGAACTGTGATGCCACAGCACTCTAACCAGGGGGACAGCTTGAGGCTCTGTCTAAAAAAAAAAAAAAATTTTTGTTAACATGTAATGCTTTTATCTTAATGGAATTGAACATTTTTAATTTGTTTAAATTTCTCTTGTGGCAAATACTAGCAGGTATAACGCACATAAACAAAGGCTCCTTGGGATCTTCAGTAATTTTTAGGAATATAATGGAGTCCCAAGGCCAACGTATCTGGGAAACATTGATCTTAAATACTGCCAGATCATGTCATTTCTCTGCTTTGAAACCTTGCAGTGGATGCTCAGATTTCCGCATATTGGCCTACAAGGCTCTCCTGTTACCTGTCTCTTTACTCTTCCCCTTGCTTACTGTCCCCAGCCATACTTGCCTCTTTGCTGTTCCTCCAATGGGTCAAATACACTCCCAACTTAGGACCATTGCTCTGCAGCATGCAAAGCAACTTCCCCATTTTCTACATGGCTATTTCCTTCACTTCCTTGAGTCTTTGCTCAAATGTAACCATCCCAATAACCTAAGCATCCTGTTTAAAACTTCAATCCCGCACAGTAGCTCAGATCTGTAATCCTAGCACGCTGGGAGACCTGGGCAGGTGGATCACCTAAGCTCGAGTTAGAAGCCAGCCTGAGCGAGAGCTGAGACCTCATCTCTAAAAAATAGCTAGGCGTTGTCATGGGCATCTGCATTCCCAGGTACTAGAGAGGCTGAGGCAAGAGGATCACTTGAGCCCAAGAGTTTGAGGCTGCTGTGAGGTTTGACACAACACTCTATCCAGGACAACAAAATGAGACTCTGTCTAAATAAATAAATACTTCAACCCTACTACCCAATCCCTGGCCACACACAAAATTTCTTTCCTCCCAACATCCTCTGACATTTGCTCATTACATCTAGGGTTTGAACTCCCACTCACCCCAGTATAATGTAATACTCCAAAGCCTGAGGATACACGTAACACACAGAGCTCAACAATTACTTGTTGACTGTTGAATGAATGTAAGAACTTGTTTGCCAGCTTGTCACTTCTGAAAACATGGCTACAAATTTCCAAGAGAAAGAGAATGCAATTTACACAGAGGTGAAGGAAAGCAATGACGACAAAGACTTTTAAAATGAAAAAAAGGGGTTGGGCGGACAGGATAGCTCAAGCCTGTAATCCTAGCACTCTGGGAGGCCCAGGCAGGAGTATGGCTTGAGCTCAGGAGTTGAAAACTAACTTAAGCAAGACTGAAACAACAGCTCTACCAAAAATAGGAAAAAATTAGCTGGAAGTGGGCACACCTGTAGTCCCAGCTCCTGAGGAGGCTGAGGCAGAAGGATCTTGAACCCAGGAGTTAGAACTACAATGACCGAACTCTACCCAGGGCAACAGGGCAAAACTCTGTCTCAAACAAATAAAAATGAAAAAAAAAATTTTTTTTAAATGGGCCGGGCACGGTGGCTCATGCCTGTAATCCCAGCACTCTGGGAGGCTGAGGCAGGTGGATTGCCCGAGCTCAAAGGTTGGAGACCAGCCAAAACAAGGGCGAGACCTCGGTTCTAAAAAGCCGGGCGTTGTGGTGGGCGTCCGTAGTTCTGGGGAGGCTGAGACAAGAGAACGGTTTGAGCCCAAGAGTTTGAGGTTGCTGTGAGCTGTGATGCCACAGCACTCTACCAAGGGCGACAAGTGAAACTCTGGCTCCAAAAAAAAAAAAAAAATTAAATGGAAAAAAAAGAATATGGGATATGATAATTGAAAATGTCAATAATAAAGGACCTGGAAAAAAAAAACCGCTCGTGGATCAAATGGGAGTAGGGGAGCATTACAAAGGTGTGCAGGGTGGATTTAAAAGCCTGGCAACGAACACAGGCCACACGCTCCACCCCCACCCACTTCACCCCACTCACCCTACCCGCGCTCTGACTCTCAGGAAACCTTGGTCTCCAGAGCCCTCCCCGACCCCTCACCTGAACAAAAGCAGTTCACACCAAAAGACTTAACAATTTCTAAACTTTATGGAAAAAACAACGACAATCAACTAGTCAAAAGCGAGGCTTCAAATCCTGTCGTACTCCAGTGCCGTCTTCCCTAACGCTTGCCAGCTCTGCGCCAGCTCTAGGACCTCTCCAGTGGCACAGTTCTCAGGGGTCCTGATGGTCTCTCAATGCCGCGTTCCAAAGGCATGTTAAGCGGGGCACCCTCGGACAAGCAGTTTTGTACACGGAAAGCGCGGGCGGCAGGATCACGGGGAATCAGTTCACTGGAGTCAGGAACACTCGAGAAGGAATGCAGGGAGAGGCGTCCTCGGCCGGCAGCGACAGGCAAAGTCTCAGTTCTCCTCGGGCTTGTCGGCTGGGGGTCCGCAGGGCTGCAGCATCTTCTCCATCAAGTTGAAGCGGACTCGCGCTTTGCTCTCATTCTCCGCAATGGCGAAGTAGTTGAGAAGGTCGAAGTGGCCCATGTAGGAACAGTAGGAATCACGGTGCTGGTTCACCAGCCATTCCCACTTGGTGGTGTCGGCGTGCCCCGTGCCGATGTACTTGGACTGCAGGTGCTCCAGCTGGCTGTGGATGGTGTAGCGGTCCGTCATCTCGCCACTTTTAACTCAGCTACCGGATCACAGGCCGAAGTTTCCCGCCGCAGAGAAACCGCCGCACGGAGGCTGTGGGCCCGAGCAGTCGCAGGAGAATACCGTCACGGCAACGAAGTTGTGTAACGCTCTTGTATAGGGTTCAGAGGAGGAAGCGGAAGAGCATTCTGTCGCGGAATTGGAGTTGCCTAGGCGACGCTAAATGTTCCGCCCCTTCGAGAGCGTTGCATGATGGTCCATCGAGCCGCCTTAGGCCGCTCTTTCCTGTCTGGGAGAGTTGCGTGCTGGGACTTGTGGTCTCGAGCGGTAGTGGCGCGTCCACTGCTGGGACTCCCGGTAACTTTTTAAAGGGGCTTGGGTGGCCTCCTGGAGGGCGGATGTCTGGGACTTGGGGAGCATCCGGGGGCTGTTTGGGGGTACATCCCCTAAAGTAAACTCTTGGTGTAATTCCGAGTTAAAGTGGCAGCACTGTCGTCCCTTCACAACCAGGCAAGGATAACCCTGAAGCCAGCAGACGGGAGTTTTGGTCCCATCTATGTCTCTTAGGAGTTCTGTGACATGAAAGAGTCATTTCATGTCTAACAGGGCCACCGTTCCCTGCTTGATGAGCAGGGACAGCGCCAAATCCAGCTCCTTCCTCTCTAACGTCTTCAACACGACCCTTCCCTGTGGGGCCCCAGTTATCCAGTCGGGGTACTTACCTGTGGGTTTCCTCAACCGTGGATTCAACCAACCAAGAATGTAAAATATCTGGAATAAATTCACGTCTATGCTGAACATAAACAGAGTTTTAGTCGTTACTAGCTAAATAACACAGTATTAACAGTCATTTACATAGCATTCACATTGTGTTAGGCATTAAAAGGAAACTAGAGATGATTTTAAAGTATCCAGGAAGATGTACTAAGATTATATGCAAATACTGTTTTATTGGCTCAAAGGAGTAAGGCCCCGGCTCCATATGCCAGAGGTGGCGAGTTCAACCCTAGCCCTGGCCAAAAACTACAAAAGAAAAAAAAAAGCAAATACCGTTTTACGTCTGGGACTTGATCATCCTTGCTATGCGCAGTTTTTGAAATCTGATAGACGGATTGGAATTTAATTTGCATATTCCTGATTATTAGGGAGGCTAGGCATCTTTGTAAACATGTCTCTTTTTAAGACAGCTCAAAAGCATGTCCTCAAAGTTGGCTTTGATTACTCCAGACAAATGTAAACTCTCCTTGCTCTTTGCATCTTGTACATCTCTTCCTTATTATGGCTTTATATCCTACTTTTTGGTCTAAACACTTGCTTACACGAGTAGAAAGTACTTGAGAAAACGATCCTATGCTTTTTTTTTCTTTTATGCTGTCCGTATAGCTTGATAGAGATTGTATTCTCAACAAACATTTGATAAATGGACAAACAACTGTATTACAGCCATAGAGAAGGAACTCTTTACTGAGAGAGAACTTTAAAATACTTTCATTTTGTTTAAACTTTGCTATAACAAATGTTTTATTACTAAAATGTAGAGAATTTTATAAGCATGCTGTGGGTCCACCATTGTGAAGTATCAAACCTTGCCCTTTTGCCATTTTGTTGTATTGTACTTTGTTGTTGTTGTTTTTTAATGAAATAAAACAAAACTATACAAATAAATGGAAGTTCTCTATATTCTTCCTAATCTGTTCACTTTGGGATAAGATCCTGAATTTAGGGTTAACATTCCTGTTTTTTTCAATTGCTGAAATTTTGCGTACCCATTGTGTACCCAATAATAGGTTATTGTTATGCATGTTTAAAGCATTATATAAATAACATCCTGTATATGTTGTTATAAAAGTTGTTTTTTCTCCTTATCAGTCTCCATGTTGGTATATGTAACTTCAGTTCACTGTTATTGCTATGCAGTAAGTTAGTGAATTAATATACCATAACATATTGGACATTTTCACATTTTTGCTACTAGAAACACTGCTGCAATGAACGTTCTTATATATATTCTTATGCATGTGAAGAAATTTCTCTAGGACATACATAGGAATAAAATTGTTGAGACCTACAGATGAGTGTCTTCAAGCTTTGCTATAATAAACGTTGCCAAATTGCTCTTCAAAGTGGTTATACCAGTTGACTCTCCCACTAGGAGCATGATAATTCTCTTTGGGCCACAGACTTCTCAATGCTTGCCCTCTTCAGATATTTAAAAATCTGGTGGACGGAATGGAATTTCATTGTGGCTTTTATTTACATATTTCTGATTACTAGCGCAGCTAGGCATCTTTTTTATTGGTCTGTTGTGTTTCTGTGTCTGTGAATTGCATATTCACATTTTTTGCCCATGTTCTAGTGGATGTTTATTTCTTTCTTACTAGTTTTTAGCAGCTCTTTATATATTCAGGATTGAATGGTTGGGTTGCCAGTTATAAGCAACAAAAGCATCTTTTTCAAGTATGTGGCTTTTCTTCACCCCATCTTTCTGATTCTCTTTTATTGTAGAGAATTTCAGTTTAAAGTAGTCAACTTTATCAGCCTTCCTTTATAGCTTGTGCTTTTTGCATTTAATTTAGAAAATGAAACATTGCAAAACCCTTTCCTACCATGGGGCCAGAAAAAGAGTTTCCTTTATCGTCAAAAGTTTCAGAATGTGGGTTTTTCACATTTAGGTTTTAATCTACCTGGAGGAAATTTTTGTTTTGCTTTAGGGATCTAATTTTTAATATTTTCCTATATGGCTAGCTAATTCCCAGTGATAACTAATCATTCATTAGTTATCCTAACTAGTCATTACTTAGTACATCTTTTTTGTATTCATGTTTAGTGCTTCCATTGTATATTCACAGGTCTGTTTCTGGGCATTCTGTTGCATTAGTCTTCTTGCCTATGCCTTTACCAGTAACATGGGGTATTAATTACTGTTCCCTTGTAATTGGTCTTGGACATGGACAACACCTGTGCAATTTTATTCTTTGTTAGAGATATTGACTTTTTTTTTTTTTTTTTTTGAGGCAGAGTTACCCTGTCACCCTGGGTAGAGTGTTGTGGTATCCTAGCTCACAGCAACCTCACACTCCTTGGTTTGAGCAATCCTTTTGCCTCAGCCTCTCCAGTAGCTGGGACTATAGGTGCCTGTCACAGTGCCTGGCTAGTTTTTGTATGTTTGGTAGAGACAGGGTCTTGCTCTTGCTCAGGCTGGTCTTGAATTCCTGAGTTCAGGGCATCCACCTGCCTCAGCCTCCAGGAGTGCTAGGATTAAGGCATAAGCCTCTGTTCTTGATCCATTGTTTTCTCAGGTGAACTTAGAATTAGTAGAAATCCTCATAGAAATTGTGATATAGTTAGTCAAGCAAAGCCAAGAAAATTAATCTAGTATCATTCATATATATGTATATATGTGTGTGTGTGCATATATATATATATGTTTTTTTCTTTTTTTGAGAGAGAGTCTCACTCTGTCACCCTGTGGTTAAGTGCTGTGGCATCATCATAGCTCACAGCAACCTCAAACTCTTGGACTTAATCGATCCTTATGTCCAGCTTCCTAGGTGCCTGTCACAATGTCTGACTCATTTTTTTCTATTTGTTAATTTTAATCATAATTTGTGTGTGTGTGACAGAGTCTCACTTTGTCACCTTCAATAGAGTGATGTGGCATCATAGCTCACAGCAACCTCAAACTCTTGAGCTCAAACAATTCTCTTGCTTCAGCCTCCCAAGTAGCTGGGACTACAGGCACCCACCACAATGGGCCCTGTTTTTAGAGATGAGGTCTTGCTTTGGCTCAGGCTGGTCTTGAACCTATGCACTCTCAGGCACTCCACCTGCTTCCGCCTCCCAGAGTGCTAGGATTACAGGCATGAGCCACCACACCTGGCCTTAATTTTAATTTTTTTTCAGTAGAGATGGGGTCTCACTTTTGCTCAAGTTGGTCTTGAACTCCTGAGCTCAAGCAATCTATCTGTCTCAGCCTCCCTGAGTGCTAGGACCATAAGCAAGGGACCAGTTCTCAGCCCCATTATTTCTGTATATTCAAAATTATTCTAACATGAGGGAATTCCTCAAATTCGAAAGCCTTTAGAACTAGATGGAAAGGACATGTATTAATTAAGAGTCAAAGTATATTTTAGTTTTCTAGGGCTTCCATAACAAAGTACCACAGACATGTGTCTTAAACAATAGAACTTTATTTCCTCACAGTTCTGGAGCTAAAAGTACAAAATCAAAGTGTTGGTAGAGTTTGCTTCATTTTAAAGTCTCTCTACTTAACTTGTAGCTGATCGTCTTTGTATTTTTCACATGACTTTCCTTCTCTACCTGTTTGTATCCTAACTGCTTCCTAAAAAACCAGTCATATTGGATTAGGGCCCAGTCATATGACCTCTTTTACAGCTTTAAAGGCCCTCTTTTCAAATATAATTGAATTCAGCATTACTAGTGGGAGTAGGGGGTGGGGAGGGTTAGGACTTTGCCACATGAATTTTAGGGCCATAAAATTCAGCCATAAAAGTTACATATAGTGATATAGAATATATAAAATAACATTTCTTTTTACATATTTATAAATTTAATTAATTAGATGTATGGAAAAAATTTAAATACTTGAAATGATTTCATTTGTTAAATCAGACAATTATAATACAAGGAAAATAAAATATATTACATTAATAACTATAGTTTAAAATGTTTAAAATAATTAAAATTTGGAGTGAAACTAAACTTTATTCAAGGTCCTCTTAAAAGTCCTACTAAAATTTGCTATCTGATTTATAAACAGATTAGAATCTTTAGCTGAACTTAAAGAAAAAAAGCAGTTTTTCAATTTGTTGTTTTAATGAATATTAACTTTTAAAATATGAATAAATCTCTTAATAGTAATTTCCACATTCCCCCAGTGACCCTTAGAAACACCCAAAGGCCTCACATTTAACAATATAAGCTTTCAAATACCGTGAGAATGCTACTGCAATTTAAACTGTAATTATGTTGAATTTGTAAATTAGTTTGGGGAGAACTGTCACCTGAACCGTACCGAATTTTCTGAACAATGCATATAGTATATATTTTCATTTATTTAAATCTATCTTTCTTTTTTAAAAGT